ACTGCCTGAGAAAATTATTGCTACAAAAATTGCTGGTTTTCGCAAGGATAATCAATTTCTTTGTTCTTTGAGGCGTGACCTTTTGCTCGATATCTCTTGAGGAGCGCTTTCTATGTCTTTTCTAAATCTATTATCTTCTCTTCATAATGATCATTTATCTGTGTTCGTTATTAATTTTGATCTCAGTGAAGCCCTCGAGAGTGTTCCATAGACGACTAGTCCTTATATAGAGGCTCTGAAAATTTGCACTCCTCTTATAGACTTTATTAAGTCTTACCTATCTAACTGGAATCAAAAGGTCTGAGTGCGTTCCCCATTTTCCAATGAGAACCCTATTGTAATCGGAGTCGTCCAAGCACCATGTTCGGTCCACTTTATTTTTACTTAACAGTAATGATATTTTGTCATTATTTACATACTTTTATTTGTGCTGAGAATATCTAGTGCGTACAGTCTTTCTCCAAATCTACTGCCAAGCATTGCTTAGGAAAAATATTTGCCGATTTACTTGGTAGTGCGCGCGTGACTTTGATATAGGCAAGACAACCACTGCCAAGTTTTCAACCGCAGTATTATAAATATAATTTGGGATAATCTATAACGAGGGCCGAGTCAAATATTAGGGAGTGAGTCCAATATGCCCGACCTGGTGCTCACTCGAGATGAGGAGAGTGAGCTGGATATACAGCGTCTCCCGCTAATTGGTGCTAGGGCTCATATCGTGAGGCTCTTCGAGTACTCCATGTTCTCAAAACCTGATTCACCTGAACAGCTACAAACAGATGTCTGGAAGGGAGAATTTTCCAGCATGCGAACGCAAGTCTCGGCAATACCGTGGACAACCACATTGCTGGGAAAAGTTAACGACTACTAGAGCACGTTCGGCTAACTGGTAAAAAGAATCGTTAATCTAAACTGTCCACTCAGACGGAAGAAAATAAGCAACCGTCCGCTGTGGATAAATCGGGCACTGAAAACCACGTTTTAGAGAAGAAATAAAGTGTGTAAACGTTATCGAAAAACAGAGAGTCATGAAAACCTGAAGGAAAACAAGCGACAGTGGAATGTGTGTAAAAGTGAGGCTGATAGACGTCGAAGAAACCATGAGCTATGCATATTGCAAAGCTTTTTGGAGCACTCTAAAATCCTCTATGGTTACACACGTAATGGTAGGAGAAATCACGACCCAATTCCAGCGCTGAGGTCCCAAAACGGAGTAAATGAGACAGATGATTACATGAAAAAAATCAGCCTTCACCAGTTTCTTTCAGGTTCTTTCCGTTGGTATGTTGGTTGTGAAATGTTTGCATTCGGTGTCCTGGTGGGACGCGTGTGGTTTTTCCCCTGGCGTGAAAGGAAAGCCTGCGGTTCCGCTAGCCAGGTCATCATGCATCTTCATGCGAATATTGAAAGACGAAATTGGGGATTTGTAACGCTTGAGCTTCTGATAGCAGACGAGTTGAATTGCGGTAGCATATTCAATAACAGGGAAATAGTCGTATTAAATTTGTAAACGACCTGTAGAGATTAGGCAATAATATCACCATGCCTTTATGACTGCTTGCGGGCAACTCTCAGAAGGGAACGCGAAAGTGTGCGTGTGTGGAGGCAGAACTCTACGGACAGTGACAGTGGGAGAATAACAGCAGCTCTGAGGGAATGTTACCGGCCAGCTTTATTGACATGCGGTTACATTCATCCGAAAAAGGTTCTCCATACAATTCAAACATTTCCGTCTGTTTCATGGTGTATTTCGGACCAGAATGCCTTTACAAGCCGAACTCGTTAGCATGTCAACGCAAAATTAATCGTTAGTATTTGGGTTAGCCCAATCACGTATGACAAAAGTTGTACTAACGATGCATTAGAATTGCATCCGATGTCTTTAGCCTAACATGGCGGCAACCTCCCCAGACGCGTGCAAAAGACGTCGCATGTTGCCGCGACTAGTCGCCCCTCTTCACACAAGTTCGTGCGTTCCTCCGTCAGAGTTTGCCTTCCATAACCACCTTCCGCACACCTGCGTTCAACTTCAACCTCTTCGTACATCCGATTACCTCCTGTTGTTGTTGTTTTTTGCCGGGCTAAGTAGACTTACCAGGGCCTGTGCACATGAGTACTTCTCACAATGGCACAGATAAACAAACTGCCACGCTTGGAGACCTAGTGTGCCAAAACTGGCTTAAATTTTTGCAAGCATCGGCATACGGATTTTTGGAGCCTGTGGCATTTGTGTGCACATCTCCCTTGTGTCAGCATAGATGTTGTAGCCCTTTTTCAAAATCGCAAACGAGCCTGTTAATAATGAATTTCGGGTCATAGTTAATGCGATTTTTGCATTAATGTATGGAAATCACAGGGAACTATTACGACATGGACTTTTTTGAATATTCTCTTGACCTCGGCGTTTGCTGCCTTAAAAATTTAACTATTCCTCGCCAGTAAAATTTAGCTGGAGCATTGATGATAATGCAAACAGTCGTAAAAGCCTTTTAGCCTGCAGCGCCTCAACCAGTTGCCGTAGGCCCCAAAATTTAGTGTTCGTAGCAGGACAGTATTGTCATCAGCTCCAAGTCCGTTCCGAAGAACCAAGTGGAATTTATATCTTCGTGCTAGGAGTGGTCATTTTTTGCATCCTTGGCTCTCCGCCAAGGTATTTGCTCTTTGGTCTGCATCTAGGCATGCATCGCGCGGTTGGCATGAATGCCTGATGCGGTCATTGGCGTTTCCATGTTTTGAAAGGGGCTCTACCATCGACTACCCAAAAGTCATAATTACCATGACATACCAGCTGTCTTATTCACGTGACGGCTAACAGTAATGGTCAGGGTTGCTCAGTGCTACTGAAATGTCCTGATGTAAATCCTGTACTACATTTTTCCAACGAGACCTCTGTGATTGTCAACAGTTCCGTTTTGGGTTTTTCCTGTTCAAAGCGTCAAGCCAAGCCTGTATTACGCCACGAGAGTAAAGTCATGTCTGAATATTCGGCCTACAATAAACGCTGATGATGGTGGTATACCATGGCCATATGCCAGACTAAGTCGCATTCCGAGGACAAAAGTGATGTTCTGCCAACTTCAGATCGGTCTCTGTTCTTTAAATGTCATTGGGTGTAAAGGATTGAAGCGCTTTTTTATTATTGTTATGAGAGTTAAGATAACTTCTGCGCAAGAAGGATGCTCGCACACACTTTTGTCTGACCTCTATAATTGGCGGCCAAGGGTCATACGTCTTTCTAAAACTGTGTATATCTTGCCCGACAGTGTATAGTTGACGTCAATGGCTCCACTAGTTCCGGTTTCTGACACCGGCCGCTATAGCATATGGGTCCGGCTAATAGGCAGTCATGGTCGCTGCAGCGGCAACACCGTCTGCATGAAGTTGCCTCTGGCAAATGACCAGGAGATAAGTAAACCACAAGCCAGGGCAGTGTTATATCACATCGAATGCAGTTCAATATCGCCAACTTTCTCTCAGACATGACCGTAGATTTGGTTTCTATTGCCTTATTCCCACTTTTCAAAACAATTTCAGAATTTTGGTCGCATTATATTACAATGTTCGGTACACTGGGCGGCCAATCAAGTTCTGGAATCCGCTGACACAAGTACATGCTTCATACTACTTTGCTCTCATTTGCAAAAAATGCTTGTCCTCACGACGTCTGCGGTCGGTGTTCTCTAAGTAGACGGCTACTGAGGTACCTGTTGGTAGAAAGTTCGCCTAAGCCACGGATTCGTAGCTGTAGATTAGGCATACAGTAGGTGGGCTAACTCATGAAATGTCAACCGAAATGCGGTTTCGTTTCGGAAAGATTAGTTAAGTAGGATTGTGAAACTAATCATTTCGCAGCGTAATTCTAGAATGATTCAGTTACTTCGGGGTGCCGGCCTTCGAACGAACTTCTTTCCGGCTGCATGCAAAAACTATACTTCGTAAAGAATGGCTAGCATGGTAGCATGCATTTTTCTCATGGAGGTTCGATTCCCCTTAAAATTCAGTTATATTTCATAGAAAACATGCAGAAAAATATTCATTCTTTTACTCATTTGCTAGACATTTACTTCTACTTTGAATTTTATACTTGAAGAAATGGTATAATTCGGTTTTTGAAAAGTTACTAATTGTGAGATTTTTTATAACATTGAAATACCCTTTCATAAAACATCGTGTTTCTTCATTTAGTAATGTGGCTTCTTAAATCTACTGCCAAATTTTATGAACCTCATATAGTCTCCTCTTAGTACCGTAATGTATGGCTTTCCGTACGCGGAAAATAAACGGCTTGTAGTTTGGAAACCATGAATGCAAGTGTAAGGGCAAGTCGGGCTCAAAATGACTCAGGAATTGGGAAAGTTTTTGAAAACCGAATTATACCCTTCCTTCGAGCTTAAACTTGGGAGAAGACGTCATTTACTACCGAATAAACAAGAGAGTGAATATTTTTATGCATGTTTTCTATGAAATATAGTTGAATTTTCAAGAGCATCGAAAATCACTGAAAAAGGCACACTACTTAAATAGTCATTTTTTGTAAAGTATAGTTTTTGCATGCAGCCGGAAAGAAGTTCGCTCGAAAGCCGGCATCCTGAGGTAACTGAATTATTATAGAATTATGTTGCGCGATGATTAATTTTACAACCCTTCTTAACTAATATTTCGAAACGCAAACACATTTCGGAATTTCGGTTGACATTTCATAAGTTGGCCCACCTACTGTATACCATTCCACACTGAAAATCCGCAGAATAACTTTTTCAGCTGGCGACCAATCCAACCGTTAATCATATTGACCATGCTTTTGTAACCTAATTTCTTTTAGTTGGCGAACACATCAGTCCCTTAATAAAGTATTCCCTCTTGTGAATTCTGCATCCAGTTTACATGTCGTCAACTCTGAGCTTCCTTTTTTGTCTAGGGAAGACAGACAGTTACTGCCACCTTCCGAGAATCGGCGGTGCTTCACGGGCTCCTTACCTCCCGCTCTCGCACATTGAATGCTGCAACAAATGTGAGCTATTTACTTCTTAACCGGTCATCTTCTTATTGGTCTATCTTTCCTCTGGTATTTTAAACACTTCCATTTTGTGAATAATGTGTCGCTGGGTAAATTTGGCCTGCTTATCTGCCTGACTTCCTTCAGCAACGTACCTCTTGCACACGAGTTTCGCTTGGAGAACGGAATAATCGACTTGGTGCAAGTCACCGTCTCCCTTTCGCAAAAGGTACATAAGGAGCGTTTGTCGTTCGGGTTGCATCAAAGTTGCAATTTCAATTTCGAGAATCCAGTGGCCCGGCGTTTGTTTATAGCATTTCTACTAACAATTTAAAGTAGGCATTGCTTTGCAATTATAGAGAAAAATTGTTTATAAATACGCACTGCGGGAATATGCGCGCGTACCGTGTGAACTTTGTCCGTCGCCATTGCTATTGACGTGCACATTTTGATCTCTCTCTCTCCCTCACCAACACATGAGGACTACATTTCTCCCTGATTTTTTCACCCACCACGGATTATTCGGAGTGCTTGCCTCCACAGGGCTCTGTGCCATTTTGGCAGCCCGCTGCGTCAGCTGTTTCGCACTTCCAGCGACGTCTTTTCCCCCACAGACCGACGTGTCCGAGACTGCCATTCACAACAATGTGGGTGCCTCAGTGCTTAACAGTGAAACTAGGGAATCACTAAGCTGTATGCCAACATTCCATAAATCGGATACGCGTACCTCTGAGAGCCCACAACGGTCAAAAAGGCATAATCTTTCCATTGCCAAACGGTTGTTGCTGGTGTCTGCAGAGCGTCAGAGCGATGAGACACAGCCCGTCACCATCGGTTCCCCTGTAACGGAAACCCGAGTCATGACGTCACGAGGACACAGTGCCCCTCACGCAGGTGCCATACCCTTCTGGCAGGACTTTGTAGCCATTCTAAGGGACATCAGGCGAGGCAAGCTGGAGAAGGCACTGGAGTACGAGACCTTTCTAGACGCCTGTTGCGTTCGCGAGGTTCTGCGTCCTACGGGAGGGGGGCACTTTAATTCAAATTGCTGTTCTCGTCTTGTCTACCTCATATCTATGCTGAAGATGGTTAAAAAGGCCATTCCCGCCCACTGACTGGTGTTCTTGTTGGTCAGTTGCTCCCGGCTGTGAACAGTTTGTGCATCCAGACAGTCCTTCCCTTCTCCGCCCTCATCACAACTTTTGATGACCACTTTGAGCACTGGCCGTTCCTTCCTTCTCCCTGTTCCCTCCTCCCCCTACCCATGCATTTAGCCTGACATTTTCCTGAAAGGGCAAAATATACTCCGTGTCATTCTGATCAGCCTTCTTTCTTCTCCCGTACAGATGATGGTTTCCTTCCCTTGACTGTCGCCATTCGCATTTGGTTACAACCTGTTTTCTGTTCCTCTGTGGCTCCTTTCGGGTGCATTCTTGAGGTGCTATTTGTGCGAATTCGAGGGGCCGGAAAGCGTACGTATGAAAGCTAAGTAGGCGATTGGCACTCCGCTGCGGTTATGTTGATATGGTGAAATTTGAGAACAGAACCCGCGCCTATCTACAAATATCCATGAAAAGCCGTAACTCTAGGCTCCTATAAGATCAGTCATAGTGGACGTACGATTCCAAAAGTGCAAGACTGAAGTGGAAGAGGCAATCACTGGAGTATCTGAATTCTTGAAAAGTATATGCGGCTATTATCGGTCAGGGACTGGCTAATAGGTCAGGCATCCAGGGAGGATCGATGCAATCTGCGACCGTGTTCTCTCTTGAGTTCGTACTTTTCGCCATGTATACATAGCCGCTGACTGTTCGTCCACACGTATGAGTGACGACCTGCGAAGAATTTAGAGATTTATGTCCGCCTTACTACTGTAGGCCAAGTGTCATTCTCAGGCGTCGGCTGTAAGTTCATGTACTTATTTCAGTAGCCATGATGCTGGCTGTTCTAGTCTGAAAGCGACTATTTCTCATAAACCGATACGGTCTCCGTAAACCTGCCTTCTGGCGGTCTTCGTTTGTTAATCGCTTTTCTAAGGGCATATATATGCATATATATTGCTAATGGAAGCGAAAATGCGCGTCCCTGGACATAAATGAGAAGAAAAGGCGATCTCGGGAACCATAGTTTTACTGTCCTGGCGTCTCAAAAGCAAACAAGCTTCCATCGTCGGAGGTGAGTGTGGTATCGCGCCTCACAGTATTTACAGGTGGGTGACAGTCGTGTCAAGACGGTTTTTCTACATTTGAAGTCAGGGTGGCAGGGAGGGAGGGGGCGGGGAGGGAGTCCTAGAGTGCCTTTTCACCGGAGGAGTTGGTGGTGGATCAGCTTTAGTGGTCACCAGCCGCATGCACACAGGGACTGTGGCGGACGGGGGGAGGGAGAGAGGGAGGGTGACGGAATGTACTCCATCTAAATCAGGGGCCGGCGTTGAGACGTTGGTGGCCGTCGTTCGTACCTTCTCACTCGATCCTAACCACAACAGTGAGTGTCAAGCGCCTACTTTACATGCTTATATACCTAACTTCATAAGGCCCATGACGTACTGATAATCGGTAATGACCGTGAAACAGCTGTCTGCGTCTGGCCTGTTACACTCTTAGCGAGCTGCCTATGTATTATATGTGGTATGTGTCCTATGACACAGCGTTCGTTGTCGCCAGTAGCAAGCTGGCGGACGGACAGAATAGGATAAAGTGAGATCCTTACCACAACAGTGAGTGTCAAACGCCTACTTGACAGAGAATGGCAGGTGACGAGGCACTGATGAAATTCGGTTCGATGAAGTGCCTATGACCCATCTGGTAGACCCCAGTGGCGGACCAGCTGCACCAGGTGCGTCTGTGCGCATGTTTGTGTTTCCGGTCCCAGCTGGTGGTCAGGGTTATGGTTGGCTGAATGAAGGCAAACAAGCCCGAAACTGTGCTGTGTCAATCTACCCGCTCTGATATATATATATATATATATATATATATATATATAGGGTTTAAGTATGAGCCCCAAGGCACAACGGAACGAGCATGTTCCGTAACCTGATCGGTGAGCGCCCACTATCATAATATATATATATATATATATGTTGAAGGCAGAGGCGTTCTTTGGGAAAAGGTACTTTATTGCGTGAATTTTCGACGCCGGTTCCCCAGGTCGTCGTCAGACGCAGACTGAAAGTAAATGTGCCGAAAACAGTTAACATCTGGCAGTGCACATGAAAAAATCGATAATCGTTCGCATTTGCGCCCGTGAGCGGCCGCTATTTGCGTCATTCCGTCCCGATTGGCTCTCGTCTCTTCCATTTCTCCTTGAGACTTTTGTACGCGGCGTCCAACTCGATGTGACGGTTGATGCACGATTCATCCGAGTGCATGGCCTCAAGGAACTCTCGGCCTTTCTTGAAGGGGCAGGCACCGACAATCCGTGTTCTGTCCCAAGCAAACGTATGCCCGGTGTCCAAGCTATGCATGGCTACTTGAGACAGGTGGTCTCGCCTCTTTACTGCAAGTTGGTGTTCGTGAATGCGTGTAGAGGCGGATTTTCCTGTTTGACCACAATAAACTGCATCACAGGCCTCACATGGGATCTTGTAGACGACTTCCTTTCTATCCAAATAGTCGACCCTATCCTTAGGATGTACTATCTGAGTACGTAGTGTAGTCGTCGGTCTGTGTGCCACCCGAATCTGGTGTCTCTTTAGGTGCCTTTCCACGAGTTCAGACACGTTTTTGATGTAAGGGAGGGTTCGCCATGTATTTGGCTTCGGTGTCTGACTGGAGGTTCTTTGTTCCCTTTCCTTTGACTCTTTCTGTCTCATGCATCGGCGCACAAAATCCTTGGGGTACCCATTTCGGGAAAATAATTCACACAAGTAACTTAGTTCGGCTCGGTAGCCTTCTTCGTCCGAGCAGTGTGTTTTTGCCCGATTAAGCAGACAGTTGACCGTGCTCCGTTTGTGGGAAATGGGGTGGTTGCTCTCGTAGTGTAGAATGATTTCCGCATAGGTTTCTTTGCGGTACACTGATGTGCGCAATGTCCCGTCGGTCTTCCGCTGCACGAGAACATCCAAAAATGGGAGTTCTTTGTCAACTTCTTTCTCGAGTGTGAATTTAATCCCCGGCATTGTTGAATTAATGATGTTGTGGAGCGTTTCTAGTTGATCCTTTTTAACGATCACAAATGTGTCATCCACGTACCGCAGCCACAATTTAGGGTTAACTAACGGAAGAGCCGTGGCCTCCAGTTTCTGCATTGTGATCTCGGCGAGGAAGCCAGAGATAGGTGACCCCATTGGGGCTCCTTTCAGTTGTTGGTAGTATTGTTGGTCGAACGAAAAATTGGTTTCCATACACAGGTCTAAGAGTTCGAGTAAGGCGATAGCGGGAACATCCGTGTCGCAGGACTTCAGGAGATCCTCTGTGCATTGTTTTGCCAAATCCAACGGTATGGACGTGAAGAGGGAGACGACATCAAAGGAGACCATCATCTCGTCGGGGGAAACTGTGATTCCTTTTAATTTCTTTAGAAACTCTGTAGAGTTCTTAATCGACGTTTCACAATTCCTAGTGAGTGGATGAAGTTTGTGGAAGAGCCACTTTGCAATTTTGTAGTTAGGTGTCCCGATCAACGATACTATCGGTCGTAAAGGAACCTCAGCTTTGTGGACTTTGGGTAGTCCATAGATCCTAGCAATGGTGGGTTCAGTTTGCTTCAGGTATTTAGCAATTTCCCCCGACAGTTGTTTTTTCCCGGTGAGGCGCTTCAACACTTTATCAATAGAAGAGATCTGTGCTTTGGTAGGATCCGCGGGAAGTGGTTTATAAGTTGATCCATCTTCCAACAATGATAGCATCTTTGCATTATAGTCTGCTTTGTTCAAAATCGCAACGGAGCCACCTTTGTCAGCTGGGAGAACGATAATATTTTTTTCATTTCTCAGGGCTCTTAATGCTTTCTGTTCTTCACGTGATAGTACTGTAAACTGATTTCGGTCTTTCAGGGCGTTTACAGTCGTGTTTCGGATTGTAAATCTTTCCTCTTCTGTGAGCTCTGCGGTTGCTATGATGGATTCCAAATTTGCGAGGAAGTCCAAGTAATTTGAATCAGAAAGATTGCATTTCATCCCTTTAGAAAGCACATTCTCTTCCGATGATGTCAGAATTCTCGAGGACAGGTTTACGACCTTCGCTGGGCACTTCTGGCTTGCATCAGTTTTATGAGAAATGATCGTCCACTTTTTGTCTAAGATACTCCTCTTCTTTTGTCGTTCGAGTTGTGAGACACACGTGATGGTTTCGTTCAGAGATTCAAATAAGTCAACTGGAAGCTGGTTTCGGCAAAACTGCATGTGCTGCTCCTTAGAAACTTGGAAATTTCGGAGTCGATAATGGGCATCAGTTATGAACGCATCAAGCATGCTTTTTCCGTAACGAAAGGCAATTTGATACCCCAGGGTAGATCGTATGGCCGGTTTCACACGCAGGGATTTTGGCACATTTACTTTCAGTCTGCGTCTGACGACGACCTGGGGAACCGGCGTCGAAAATTCACGCAATAAAGTACCTTTTCCCAAAGAACGCCTCTGCCTTCAACTTATATTTCTTGGGATGCCTACCTTCCAATACATATATATATATATATATATATATATATATATATGGATATAGGCAAAAATGCTGACCCCAGGTGTTAATATGGAAGAGGAGGATGAGGCGATCTCTGGGGAAGAAGGTTTATTCATCTGACGTTTCGTGTTCATACTCGAGCACATCTTCGGAGATAGGCTGAGCGAGAAATACAGGGTTTAAATAGGCCATCTGCACTCTCACCCGATAGGTTCGTCCCGTTCGCTTCTCGTTGCCCCCCCTCTCGCGCGTAGATGGTGCCTGACGGCCTCGTATGGCGCTGGCAAATCGATACTTCGGTTGACAGACACGGAGAAAATTCTTCATTACAACAGCAATCACCCCCTGTCGCATAAGCGCAGTTGTGTCCGGACCCTTTTTCGCCGCATCCACACACACTGCAGCACAGAAGCCGAGAAGCTGCGGGAGCGTAATACCCTATGGCGCCTCTTCCTTGCCAATGGATATCCACGCAGTTTTGTGAACAAATGCTTGTA